CCCCTGGTGGGCTGAGCTGGCCACACACACACAAAATAAATAAATAATTTTTTTTAAAAAATACTTTAAAAAAAAAATAAAATTAAAAAAATAAAACCAAGGCCATGTGGATGATGCCAAGGGCTGCTGCCAGCCGGAGCAGTAGCCAGGTTTGTCTCTTGGCTGTAGGGGTCGGGTGCGTGTATTGTTGAGCACTCTGACCCTGATTTTGAGGAACAAATTCTGTATGTCCGCACCATTGTGGAACCTGGTGTGGCTCCCACCTCCATTCTGGAACATGGAGCTCTGCAGCTTTCTCAAAGCAAAGTCCCTCACCCTTGTGATTTTGAGGCTGCAAAGGGTAAAAAAACCACTGCCTCCTGTGATGCCCTCCAGACATCTTTTTATTTTCTTGTTTCTTCTGAGCAATGGAGATCACAGCTCTATCTTTATAGTCAGTCTACAGCCTTTTTGGCCAAACTCAACATTTTAAATCATCCTGCTGGGCTCTTTGCTGTTCATTCTCAACAGACATCTGACTAAAAGCCCCCAACAGTAGCCATACTACTGCCTCAACTTTTGACTATCTGGAGGTTTTTGTTTGTTTTTTGTAAGATTAACTAGTCTACTGTGCTTCATCTCAGTCTCAGGCAAAGTCTGGACAGTAGCAAAATGTAGACAAACTGCCAGCCATAACAAATCATCCGCAGTCCTTCCCAGCAGAAACCTCCCAGCCCGGTCTTTACAGGCAGGCATTCTGTCAGCATTCTGGTCTTCTGAGCGCTGACCAGAATGTCTCGTACAGAAGAGCCAAAATAATTTTAGCTCTTTGCTAGTAGGCGACATCTCAACTTCTTTGTGTCTTCACATAAACCATTTTCAAAAGCTTGTGATCTACATTGTCAGGTATGATCACGTCCACAGCCCCACTCCCAGTACCAAATTTCATCTCAGTTTTTTTTGCTCATTGCTGGGGCAAAATACACCTGAAATTAAGAAAGGAAAGGTTTATTTAGCTCACAGTTTGTGGAGGTTTTAGTCTAAGCTGGTTCCCAGACAGAGTGACACATGACAGAACAGCAGTTCATGGCAACAAAAAAAGCAACAGCTGTGGCATCTGTCAAGCCTTTTCCTTCCACGCTGACTGCAAAAACCAGAGCTCCTCCAAAAATTGGCAGCTGCTGTGAAGATCCAAGCACCTCTAAAGTGGCACAGCTACGTCAATCAAGCTCCTCGGGGCTGGTGAGATGGCTCAGTGGTCTAAAGCACCTATTTAAAACAAGCTTAGCAAAGCACAGGGACCACGGTTCAATTCCCCAGCACCACATGCCAGCCAGCCCCTGCCCCCTGGTGGGCTGAGCTGAGCTGGCCACACACACACACACACACACACACACGCATAAATAAAAATAAATCAAGCTCCTCAAAGGAAGTGGCGTGCAAAATCCTTTCTCGGCCCCTGTATGTACCCTAGAAGTGCTGAGTCACTCCAAGGTGGGGTTTCCCCGCGCTCGGACTTGGAATCACCAGGCCAATCCAGCCAAGCTTCAAAGTTGACACTGCATCACCCACCACAGTCCCAGGCTAACCTGGACCTCACAGCAGTCCTCCTGCCCCAGCCTGCCCAGTGCTGGGATCACAGGCATATGCCACCAGGCTCAAACAGGTTTCATCCTGCAGTGCTGGGGGCTAAGCTTGGCACATGCCCCCCAGATGCCACCCCTGAGCTGCTTGGGCACTTAACTCGTGAATGTATGCTCAGCACTGAATACCATTTTGTGGCAGTTCACAGAGGCAAAAAGCTGCCGGCTCAAGCCCTGAGCCCCAGTACAGTCCTCCACAGTGGACTGAGTCCCTAGGATAGAGTCTGGGCATGGAGGCCACCCACTCCAGCGGTCCCAGGTACTAACGGTTAAGTCCCCTTACCCCATAGCATCCTAGCTATGGTGAGAAGCCAGGCCAGGATCTCAGCTTTATCCCATGAGCATGGAAGGCACAGATGCATGGGTGGAGGCTGGGAAACATGGAGAACTTCGGTGTGCGTTGCTGAGGCAGTTGCTGGTGCCTGACAGTTGGGGGTGGGAGGTGGTGCTGGTCCTAGCCTGTGTGAGCCCGACCTGCCTTCTCCATCTCCCCTCATACTCTTGGTATCAAATGTGCAGAAAAATAGGACACTAGAATGAGCACCAGCTTCTATAGGTCCTACATTTCACTGCTCACTTAGTGCTTTCCGTAGCTAGGAGGGGGGGTGGAACCTGGGATTGAACTCAGACACTTGGGCTTGCCAGGCAAGCACTTATTCTACTGAGCCATCTCCCCGGCCCCTTTCTTTTCTTTTTTTTTATTTTTTTTTTTTT